ACACAGCAAACAAGATCACTATGCTGGCTTTTGTATTCGATCACACATCAGACACTTCTCAAGTGTCTAGGACTGTGTGATGTATGGACGAATAATGCGTGCAGATCCAAGTAGAGTGGCCTTTTGCAGCTGACAGATGGTAATGTTGTCAGCGCCAATTGTTTTTAAGTGCAGGCCAAGGTCTTTAGGCATTGCACCCAGTGTGCCGATCACCACTGGGACCACCTTTACTGGCTTGTGCCAGAGTCTTTGCAGTTCAATCTTTAAATCCTCATATTGTGTAAGATTATTATTTTTAAAATGTTTTTTATTATTGGTTTTTGAAATTACATCTGAAGGGTTGTTAAACATCAGCATTTATCATAAAAGTGTTGGGGTTGGGATATGGGGGTAGGTGAAGGAGGTGAGGGGGGGATTAAGATGAGGGAGGGATTAAGTGTGTGTGACCGGGGTTGAGTGAAGGAAGGTTAGTATTATTAATATTTACTCCTTTCCCCCCTTGCGGCTGTTAGTAGTGGTATTAAAACAACGAAATTTTTCTCCTCTCGGGGCTGTGGTTAGTTGACATTAAAGTATTTTTTGACTGGAGACCAGTCTGTAGCAATTAGATCTGTGTTTTGTTTAGTTTTCAAGAGTTGGGTGAGATTGTCCATATTCATAATATCTAGTAACTTAAGCATCCACTCGTCTAAGGTTGGTGTCTCTTTGAGCTTACATTTTCTTGCGAAGACCATTCTCGCTGCCGTAGCCATATGGAAAAATAGCCTATCTTTGTTCTTGTCGATATCGAAGTCAAATATCCCAAGAAGATAGTACTCGGGTTTCATTTCAAACTTTAAGTCTAATATCTTTTTTGTGGTTTTGTGTATCTTTCCCCAAAAATTTTTTAGACTTCCCACACATCCACCAAAGATGAAAAAAGGTTCCTTTCTTATCATTACATTTCCAGCACAAATCAGAAAGATTTCTGTAACATTTTGCCAGTTTGCTAGGTGAGAGACACCATTGGTACATCATCTTATACCAATTCTCCCTCAAATCGTAGGAGTTTATCCATTTTAATTTGACATTCCAAACCTTTTCCCAGTCCGAAATTCTGATTGGATGTCCTATATTGGCTGTCCATTTTAGCATGCATGTTATTATAACTCTTCTTCCTCCTCCTTCACCTCCTCCTCTTCTTCTTCTTCTATTATTATTATTATTGACACAAAAACACAATATGTCACAGCAAACGAGATCTATATGCTGGATTTCATATCACAAAATCACAACTTGAACACTTTCCAAGCGTCTAGGACTGTGTGATGTATTATTATTATTGTCGAAGGCTTTCATGCAACCATATTTTCGTTGCTACTTCATAAATCATAGAATCAAAGAGTTGGAAGAGACCTCATGGGCCATCCAGTCCAACCCCCTGCCAAGAAGCAGGAATATTGCATTCAAATCACCCCTGACAGATGGCCATCCAGCCTCTGTTTAAAAGCTTCCAAAGAAGGATCCTCCACCACACTCCGGGGCAGAGAGTTCCACTGCTGAACGGCTCTCACAGTCAGGAAGTTCTTCCTCATGTTCAGATGGAATCTCCTCTCTTGTAGTTTGAAGCCATTGTTCCGTGTCCTAGTCTCCAGAGAAGCAGAAAACAAGCTTGCTCCCTCCTCCCTGTGACTTCCCTCACATATTTATACATGGCTTATCATCGGCATGTAGCGGGGGGGGGGGCCTCGGGGGGCTTCAGCCCCCCCCCGAAATTCTCATGGTGGTTCGCGAAAAGGCCTTACTGGTACATTATTTAAACTGTTATGTTTATTCATATCATGATCTGATCACCATACTCAATATATCCCATATGCATGGGGGTATTGGGGTAATGATACAAAAGGTTTGCTAGGCTAGACCCTCTTTCACTCAGACTCAGCCCCCCCCCAAACTCAGCCCCCCGAACCCCCCCCCTGAAAAAAATTCACACACCACCCCCGAAAGGAAATCCTGGCTACAGGCCTGGCTATCATATCTCCTCTCAGCCTTCTCTTCTTCAGGCTAAACATGCCCAGCTCCTTAAGCCGCTCCTCGTAGGGCTTGTTCTCCAGACCCTTGATCATTTTAGTCGCATTCCTCTGGACACATTCCAGCTTGTCAATATCTCTCTTGAATTGTAGTGCCCAGACAGATGGTAATTTTGTCATCGCTGATTGTTTTTAAGTGCAGGCCAAGGTCTTAATCTTTAAATATTATTATTATTATATTTGTTTTTTGTCAGGGTTGGGTTTCCAAAAGGGAAATGCATCCCCCCCCCCCACACAAACCCAAACCCGAAATCTATTTCTTCCCTTTGTGTGAGAGAGCTTCGTCAGAAATGCACTCTGTACATGCTCAGGAGCCTTCCCAGTTATGTGCTCCAGTGGCTAAGAGCATACACTGGCCAGAAGGCAGACGAGCACCTCCCATCTCACCACAGCAGGTGAAGATGTATGCCAGGGGAATATGTCACAGGCTTGTTTTGGGGGGGGGGGGGTTGCAAAGCAGAGCGTCCCTTTCCCTGCCTCTGATCAGGAAGAGGCTGCGCGCGGGGGGAGTGGGGCGCGGGCGCCGTAAGAGCCAGGCTGGCGGTGCTGGGCACCTCCCTCCCCTCCCTCCCCTCCCTCCCTCTAATGGGATTCGATAGAGAGCGCCCGGCGCGTGCCCGAGCTCATCCGCGGGGGCGCGCACCGCGGTCGTCTTCGGCGGGAGTGGAGGAGGAGGAGAAGAGCGGCGAGGAGCGCGAGCCAGCCAGCCAGCCAGGGAGCTCGCGGCCGCCCGGGAAGGCGTTTGGAAGCGCGCGGGGAAGCCGCGGGGGCGGGGGGCGCCTCCCTCCCCCCTTCCTGCCTTCCCCCCTCCCGCCTGCCTTCCTTCCTGCCTTCTTTCCCGGGCCCCGCCGGCCGGCCGGCTCCCTCCCCGCCCGTCTATGTCTTTTTCTGACTCCAGCGCAACCTTCCTGCTCAACGAGGTAACTTCACCGCGCAGCCGCCGCTTCCCAGCCTCTCACTATCCACACTTTCACTCCATCCCTCTCCCCCCCCCTTCCTTATAATTTGCCCACCCGCCCCTCATTGGCACGTTAGAGACCCTGGGCGAGCGCACTGTCAACAGAGGGGGAGAACCCCAAGCGGGGTTCTCATCGCCTTCCCATCCCTGCCTCGCGCCACTCCTAACCGGTCTTCTTTCTCTCAGCTCCCCCCTCCCTTCCCGGGCCTTATAGTTTGCCCTCCCTCCTCATTGGAGACCCTGGGCGGGCGCACTATTACAAAAGGGGGAGGCCAGAGATGGTCTCTCCCTCTCACCACTCCTTAACCGTCTTTTTTCCTCCTGCTCTTCCCCCCCCCCCCGGGGTCCTATAGTTTGCCCACCCGCCTCATTGGAACTCCAGAAGCCCTGGGCGGGCGCATTGTAGAAAGAGGGGGAGGCCAGAGATGGGCAACGGCATGGAGACAAGCGCCTTCTCATCACTTCTTCACGGCTTTATTGGATTTTGTGTGTCGTTGGAGGAGTTTTCCTCCACCCCTCTATTTGGGGGGGGGGGGTGTCTGACTTTTTTTAAGCCTGCAGATTCCTGGGCATCTCCCCAACTTTAGCTAGGCAGATAAAGAGAAATTGGGAAGGGGGGAGAGATGGTTAGTGGCAGCACTGGCAGCTCTGGCACCGAGCTTGGAGAGGCATATGGAGACAGAGCTTGGGGGGAACTGCAGGGAGGAAATCCCCATCTGGCCCCGTTTCCGACAGAGCCCTTTCCACGCCCTCCCCTCCCTCCCCCTGGACCCGTTTCAGGGGAGAGATCAGCTGAGGGCACCTGTGCCAGGGTTCAAAGGGGGCATAGGGAACCTGAAGGTGCCTTTCGGCCAATTGGGGGTGAGAGCAAAGGTTGGGGCTTGGAGGCAAGGGGAGGTGGAAGGCTGAAGAGGAGCAAACAAAGGGGTCTGTAAAGTTGGTTTGAAGGGAGGCGGCTCAGGGTTGCTGGGAAGGCACTGGGTTGGCACATGAGGATTAATGTTGGGATTTGCAGGCAGATGGGAAGAGAATACGAAAGCTGTTGCCAAGCAGATACCAAGCCCCTCTTCATATAAAGCCATGGGTGTATGAAATACAGTCACCCTGAGCTGCTGCCCTCAAATCTGCTTGTTTTCAGTGGGGTAATGGAGCCTGATGGGGTGACTACTAGTGGAGAGAGACTCTCTGCCACCCTATGTCTCTAAAGATTTGAGTGCCCTCATGGCACAGTTTAGGTTTTGTTTTTGTTTTTTTTTGTCATGTCAGGAGCGACTTGAGAAACTGCAAGTCACTTCTGGTGTGAGAGAATTGGGCATCTGCAAGGACGTTGCCCAGGGGACGCCCAGATGATTTGATGTTTTTATCATCCTTGTGGGAGGCTTCTCTCATGTCCCCGCATGAGGAGCTGGAGCTGATAGAGGGAGCTCATCCACCTCCCCCTGGATTTGAACCTGCGACCTGTCGGTCTTCAGTCCTGCCGGCCGTTTAACCCACTGCACCACCCCCCCTAGCCCATCCAGGCTCTCCCCGGATTCGAACCTGCAATCTGTTGGTCTTCTGTCCTGCCGGCACAGGGGTTTAACCCACTGCGCCACCGAGGGCTCCACAGTTCAGGTGGCACAATGGATTAAACCCTTGTGCCAGCAGGACCCTTGACCGACAGGTCAGCGGTTCAAATCCAGGGGAGCAGGGTGAGCTCCTGTCTGTCATCTCCAGCTTCTCATGTGGGGAAAATAATCAGGCATCCCCTGGGCAACATCCTTGCAGACAGCCAATTCTCTCACACCAGAAGTGACTTGCAGTTTTTCAAGTCACTCCTGACACACACAAATGTTCAACTCTTCTCCTGGACTGAGTTTATGTTAGGATTCCCCTATTGTTTTCTTCCTCTTCATCTGAACACCTCCTGACAATGGCGCCACCCCTTCCGTGTGGCCCAGGCAGGCGTGGGTGAGTCTGGACGGCCCAGTTGCTGTGTTGCCCACCTCAAGCCCGCCTTCCTCTCTTCCCTTCCTCGATTGTGTCTCTCTCTCTGTTCCTGCCCACAGGGGAGGGCTGTGGGTGGGCACTATTGTGTCCCCCCCACTCTGCCGCCACTCCCCAGTTATTGCTCAGCGGAGGACCAGAGCATCCACAGGCGTGAGGAATCAGATAGAAGACAGCAGGCTGACTGAGCTGCTTTGCTGTGTCGTGTGCCCATCCGCTGTTCCTCAGCTCAACTGGGGCCTGGGTCACAGGATTCCTCTCAACAACTGTCCCAACGAGAAGAGAAACCCCCTTTCTTCTCCCCCTTCCCTGCTCCCTCCCTCTCTCTGTGTCCTGGTACCCGAGCTCTGCTTCTTCTTTTTCATCATCATCTCTTTCCCCCATGTATGACGATTCTTATCTCCATGGATTCGAAGACTCTGAGGTGGTGAGTTGGCAGGCTGGGAGAAGGGGCTATTTTAAGCCTGGGAGACGCCCACCCTAAAGGAACCTGGCACCATGCTGGATCACTGATCTGTGGGGTGGGGGACGAAGGGTGAACTGTGAGGGAAGTGATGTTGGAGAATTGGGCAGAGAGTGCATGGAGGGGGCTGAGGGAGTAAAGGCAAAGAGATAACAGGAGGAGGAAAGGGCCATTCATAGCACTGTTGCCGCCATCCCAAGGGGGCTGTGTTGGGGGGATGTGATGGAAGAGCCACACATACTACTTCATCACATTAGAGAATGAATCCACTTTAAATCCGGTTTCTGCCTCCTGCAGAATTCTGGAATATTTATTTATTTATTATTTACTGTATTTGTATACTGCCAAATCAATACACATAATATCATAATACAGGTTAAAATATTAAAACAATATAAAACACAACAGAAGCAATAAAAAACATCATTAGTGTCTCCTTATTGTAAAAACATTGTCCAATTCCATCGTCAAGTCATTCGATTTCCTATATCAGTTACTCTGCATTTGTAAACGCTTGCTCAAACAACCATGTTTTATCTTGTCTCCGAAACATTCTGATCTCAGGCTGTTAAAGGCTCCTCCCTAAACTACAAACCCCAGGATTCTGCAGGAGGCAGAAACCGAATTTAAAGTGGATTCATTCTCTAGTGTGATGAGGTATAGTTGTTGGTGGTAAAGAAGCGACTGTCCTTGGTGTGAGTGTAATGAGTTAAAATACTTGGTTTTAATACCCAGGGAGGGTAGAGGCAGTGTCTTTGCTCACCCAGGGTCATGAGCAGCTTTCCTCTAATACAGTGGTTCTCAACCTTTAGTCCTCCAGGTATTTTGGATGTCAACTCGCAGAAATCTACATATACCCCAACTTGGTATATGTAGTGCACACATGGTGGTTCACTGATGGCAGTGGATGGTGTTGTATTGAATCTCCTTGTAGCAGTGAAGTTTTTCTCAGTGTTGACAGTGTGTAGAGCTCAGACTCATCCCATACCAATGAACCAGAGCCCTTTGGAGGCAGATGTTTGGTGGGATGATCTCCTGTACATTAGAGGGGAAAGAGATGGAGAATGTGTCTATCTCCCTTGAAGTGGAATACACCACATAATTGTTTTGAAATAGCAGGTACTACTTCTTTGTATCTAGATATGATGCACCCCAAAGAGCAGCTACAAGAACTCCTGATGGGAATGCTTCTAAGGCTTGAACTGGACAAAGGGCTTCTTACCCAGATCCTGTTATCACTCTTTTTACCCAGGGTTTCAGTGATGTTTAAAAAGTGCAAGGGCTCATAAATGCCACTCCCAGAATGATTTTATTTCAATAGTAATCCACTTAGAAATATTTTCAGTCCAAAGGGAAAGAGGGCCAGGACATCTGGCTGAGGAAACCCAGCAAGCCAGCTCAGCCAGTCTGGTCTGAACCTCTTTGTCAGTCTCCATAGGAGCCTATAAATAATAATAAGGTAGCTATGGGGCTCCTGTCACTGCAGGGTGCCGGAACAGCTCTTTTTATGCCCAGGACTGGGACTTCCTGCCCACCTGCCTGGGGTTGGGCATTTCTGGCAGGCAAGCGCAGCTGCTCCACTTTGAAGTGGATGGGTGAATGCTGGCAGGGAGAGGTAGAGATTATCAGATGGCATAAAGGGGCTTGGCATTTCACATAGTTTCTGCCTGAGGGAGGGGGACCATGCCCATGCAGTGGGATAGGGAGGTAGGGAGAGAGGCATATACATCACATGTTGGAAATGTGAATTCTTCCATTCTGCTCTCCTCCTCCATCTCCAGCACCTGTTATCTAAGTCATAAGCATTTCTCAAGGACTGTTGCAAGGTACTGAATTCCACGATTAACCTTTTTATTATTTATGGATCTTGCCCCTATATTCAAAAGGAATTGCAGAACTGGGTGCAGAAGTTGCGGGGTTAGGGTAACGAGGTAATGTAGACTGATCACTTCTTCCTTTCTGCTTTATCCAATCTGGGCCCCTTCAGATTATGAGACTGTGGTGTCCATCTCCTCCAGCCACTGTCTGAGCATGGTGACAGATTGTAATGACACGTATGGATGAACACAAGCTTGAGAAACTGTTGGAAAAAGTAGCCCAGATTTCTAACTATTAGCATCATGCTTCTAAGGGTCCACAGCTCCTGGCAATTAGTTTCCTTTCCTTTCTTGCTTCTAGCTTGTGTGTTCCATTTGTTTATTTGTATTACATTTGTATTTTGCCTTTTCTTCCAATAAGCTTAGTTTCTTCTTGTAGCAATTTGGTCATATAATATAAACAGATTTGGGGAAACTAGAATGATTGACCCAAAGCCACCGAACAGATTTAATGGCCGGGTTTTGAATTTTATTATATATTCCCAATTTACACCATTTTCGTTGACATGTCTTTCTTCTATGGAATGCTGGAAGCTGTAGTTTGGTGAGGGGCTTAGAATTTTCCACCAGAGAGTTCCAGTGCTCTCTCCCCTGAAACATAGCAGAGAATTCCTGATATCCCTCACCAAATTACAGAGCCCTGGATTCATTAGGATGGGGCCATAAAAGTTAAGGTTTTGTCAGATTGTTGTAATTATGTGTGCTTTGGGTTTCCCCCATGGGAAACAAGTTTTTAGTCTCCATGAAAAAACATTTATTTGGACCAATGAAAATGTTTGTTTTTAGACTTTAATTAATTCAGTAGATATTCTATAGTTGGGAATACAATTTAATTTAGGTCTAAGTGTCAGGAAACATCAAGCCCTCCAAATATGTTGTTAAATTGCAGTGTCCATCACCTGTAGCAGTTAATGGCGTGGGAATGCTGGTAGTTGCAATCCAACAAGATCTAGTAGGCCATACCATGTCTGAATTTCCTTCTGTGTGATACACACTATATATTGCACTGGTTAACTCTCAATGAAATAGTAAGATAATATGCTAAATTGGAGGAATACAGTAAGGTGAAAGGATTGGAACTGGTATCAGAATAATGTCTCTTCTTTGTCTTTAAGTGAATCTGAAGTCACCCATTGTATTGAGAAATTTAAAAAAATTAAAAGATGAGCAGAAGATGGGTCAGTTTTGTATCTGGCAGTATGTCAGTTTTCCTCAATGTAGTGCCCTCCAGGCATGTTAGTATACAAACCCTGCCATCCCCTGTTAACATGGCCATTGGACCATGCTGATTGGGATGATGGGGGCTATGATTTGACTTGTGGGAGCAGGTTGAAGAAGCATGCATTATTTCATCTCCCTGGGAACCTTCCTCCTTTTTTTGTGAAACAGATGACTACACATTCAGAAAGGAGAAATGTAGTAGTAATGGGAGATTTCAACTATCCTGGTATTTGTTGGCAGTCAAAACTGCCAAGGAAATCAAGCCCAACAAATTCATCACTTGCCTTGCAGACAATTTCATTGTCAAGAGAATGGAAGAGGCAACAAGGGGATCATCTATTTTAAACCTGATCCTACCCGACAATGATGACTTGGTAAATGGGGTGGAAGTGGTGGGTTTCTTGGGCAGGAGTGATTATATTCTTCCAGAATTTCTTAAACAGCGGAAAGGGCAAGTCAAGCATAATCAGACACACATTCTTGACTTTAAGATTACTGATTTGAGTAAACTGAGGGAAACACTGGGTATGATCCCATGGTCTGAAATACTGAAAGGGAAGGGAGTTCATAATGAATAAGAGTTTCTTCAAAGTGAGATACTGAAGATATAATTGCAAACAGCTCCAATGAGCAAGAAAACGGGATGTGTCTCCAGAAACCAGGACTGATACGTATTTTCAACTGAGTTCAAATTTTAAAAGGACATGTACAAGAAATAAAAAAGAAATCACTAAAGACTAATTCAAGCAGTTAGCCAGCACATTTAGGGAGAAAGTTAAAAAAAACCTGAAGTGTAGAATGAGCTGAGAATTGTTAAGAGTAGTCAAAAATAATAAAAAGGACTTTTTCATCACGTTCGTATTAAAAAGAAGTCCAAGGAATTGATGGGGCCACTGTCTGGAGAAGATGGAGAAACGCCAACAAGGGACAGAGAAAAAAAACCTCTCAATACCTTTCTTGTCTCTTTGTTTTCCTAAAAGAAAAACATAGTTCAACCTGGGGGGAATGGAGCAATTGATGCAGATGAGAAATACAGCATAAAATAGATAAAAGAGTTAATACAAAAATATGGGGCTATTTTAAATTAATTTAAATCTCCGGGGTTGGATGAACTCCATCTAGGGGTATTAAAAGAATTGTATGTGAAATTCTGAAAGTTCTAGTTTCATGAGATATTTTCCTTTTCTATCAGAGTTCTGGTGCCACAAGAACTTACAAATCCCAGGATTCCATAGATTGGAGCTTTGGCAGTTAAAGTGGCATCAAACTGTTATAGTTTTGCAGTGTGGAAGGTCTTTAAGACATAGAGCAATACATTCAAAGTACAGGAAAAGAGATTCTACATAAACATTAAGTAAGAGCTGTTTGGCAATGGAATATGCTATTGCCTCAGAGTGTGGTGGAGTCTCCTTTTCTGGAAGTTTTTAAGCAGATGCGTGATGGCCATCTGCTTGGAGTGAGTTAATTGTTTATTTCCAGCATAACAATGGGGTTGGATTAGATGGCTCTTATGGTCTTTTCCAACTGTATTTCTTCCAAAATCACCTTCACTTTCCATCCAGAAGTGGGGATGTGGTGCTTGTGGTTGCTTTTCTTTTTACCTTCTAAATTTTAATTGCAGTAGATTGGATAAGAGTCCAAGTCCTTCCCATCCTTTCATTGCTGAATTCTCCACCTCACTCTTTCCCCAGAGGGTAGGCATCTGCTTGACAGTAAATCCCTTTTTGTTGAAAGCCTCCTATTTAAAAATAAATAAATGAATAATATTATTTTGTATGCCCCCCCCCCCAATTAAATGACAGACAATCCATACTGGGAGTGACAACAGAGATGGAAAATAAGCTTGTTGGTACAGTAGGAATGCCT